GTGTGCAGTTTCACAGCCAATTCTTCGTACAACCTCAACACGGACAGCTTCATTATCCCTCTTTCACCAGCCACGCACCCACTTGCAGGCATTCTTCGCAAACACTTGGAGTGGCGTTGTGAGTTCGTTGCTAGCAAAAGTTGATGATTCCGTCTTCATAATCAATTGTGCATCGCCTTTATCCATCCCCATACTAGGTGGGGTTGAGTGTGCATTTTATTCATTCAAACAGGTTACTCAGCCCTCTGCCCCGCATTAGAATGGCCACAAAGCCTTACCACCTCTTGCGTACTTATTCACCGTTTTGGGATAGGTGGCGCTGTTTACATCTATGTTGTTTCTCTCATTCTCATACTTACAAACTTTGAGGCACATCATCACATTTCATGATTCATTTGTGTGTAAAATAAGCCCTTTTACATTCACCGTGATTTCTATTTTAATTGTCATATTGAGTAAAACGAAGGGAACTCTCGCCTGCCAAGTTATGCTAAGCAGGCAGAAAACGAGGAGCAGACACACTGGCATACACCAACCTACAGTTCACATTGTAAGTGCTTTGGCACGCCGACCAACCAGGAGGCGCCACTGTCAGCGGTCGTAGTGACAGCGAATAGTGACGGAAGAAACAGACGAATCAAACAGACGCTTAATGCGGATTGGCCCAATTCGACCTTGTAGTCACAATGTTACATGCATTTATGCACCAGAAGTGCGCACTCATTCTTTTATTCCTGGGTGGGTTTCATCGCCGATTTATTGCGACAGTCGATTGATACACTGTATGCTTCATATTTTTTATAAAAGTTATTTAATTGTAATTAAAATTTAGATGGCCTATTTAGGTTCTCCGATGTATGCACGTGGAGTTAACAAAAAAATTCACTTATATTATTTCTCATACTTCAAGTAGACATATGCAACGCTGCTATTCAGCTATCTATTGCCGCGCCTTACAACGGACCGCTGTTCTGTTTACTAAATAATTTACGTCCAACGCTTCCTCTTATCATTCACATACGCTCGCTACATTTAGAAACTGCCAAACCTCTTCCTTCCCTTAGATGATAGCGTCATAGGCGAGGATTAGGAGACAGGGGACATTTACCACGTCATTTGAGCGGTGTCTAGTGGATTGTGTTTCCACTGCAATCAAATAGTCCTATTAACCTTGATCACTATTTCACCCCATAGATGTCTTGTTCCACAACTCAGCGCACCTTCTTCAAGGACCTGCAGCAACTTCACAGGAAAATCGAAGCCTCAACAGATGGTCAGGCGACCATTTTGGGATCCGACGAGATGTCAGTTACTGTTTCGCTGAGACCCAAATCTGGCTACAACGCGCATGCAGAATTCGTTTTAAACGTAAGTGCTTTTCACAGCTCATGCAACCCTACATTAACCCACGCATTTCTGACGGTAGTTCTTTAAGCTGCATGCATTATCATGTTAGTGACATTGCCATGTATTTGGATCAAAGTAGATGCGCTTAGAAGTGCCTGCAAGGAAATTACTTCATCGGTCCAAAGTTCACCAAACATCCTTCTGACAATATGAAATCACCTTATCGAAAGCAGCAAGGGGTAAAACAAGGCAAAGTAGTGCACATAGGTTGGGTTTAGCATTGATTATATTCCACTGCGAGCTTTCGACTTCTCATTACAGAGTTTCTTATGCTGGGGCGCAGTTGCACAATGACAGTGTGAGATTGATGCGCCTCGTTGAGGCTAATCACGTACAGTCATCCTGGGAATGCACACGTCTTATGAGATCTTGTCTCAAAGCATTAAGGCAAAAGATGACTGACCATCTACAAGAGTTTACCTTCGACTTAATTGAGTGAATATTTGTGCAAATCACCTGTACTGGTTGTGGGCGGCAACAGGTGTCGCATAAAGTAAATAACGCAGCCAAATACTTACCTTTTGATTTGTTCTTGTAAAGATAGATATGGGTCACAAAATACGTACTTTTGATGGGCTCATCTCAGCATGTTTTGATGCACTGTTTGCTGTTCGAGTGACCGTGAATAGTACGCTCTTACAGTTTACTAGTGAGGTCAAATGATCTGCTGTGCATGCTGCTCTCTAGAAGTCAGTGGATCAACAATTCTTGTGTAAACTGTAATCTTCATCCTACTTATTAATTGGGATTAATCTTAACTGCTAACTTTGAGCTGAAGAGACTCACCATACCTCTTTCAGATCAAGTGTACTTCCT